GAACTCCTACATGTGAAGCACAGATGCTCTCCTCCCACACAAACACTCACGTTAACCGCTCATCTGAGCTCAGTTGGGCTAAGCTGCACTTGATATTTGAATTGCAAAAGAGGTTCATGTGAGGCCTGAAGCTGTTAACGTTCAATCTGTTTCCTTCTGCAGCGCGTGGTCTTCCTCAAGCAGCTGGGCACCGGTCTTCTCCTCGTCACCGGTACGTGATCGCCGTCTGATGCTGAAGCGACAGGGGTTTTGTTGCGGTGAATAACTGATCTCGTCTCTCTTTTAGGTCCTCTGGCTCTGAACCGAGTGCCTCTGCGGAGAGCTCACCAGAAGTTCTGCATCGCCACATCCACCAAGGTGGACATCTCTGGCATGAAGGTCCCCAAAACACTGACCGACACCTACTTCAAGAAGAAGAAGCTGAGGAGACCCAAGCACCAGGAGGGAGAGATCTTTGACACAGAGAAAGAGGTAAAATGGGCTTTCCAGCGTTAAATCAGTTCCCGGTCATTGGATGCTTATGCAGGACTCTGTTGGAGAATTAAGAGCCTGAGCTTTTCTAATCTTGTGTGTGTGTTTTGTGGTTTTTGCAGAAGTACCAGTTGACGGAGCAGCGTAAGGAGGACCAGAAAGCAGTGGATTCTCAGTTGCTTCCTCTGATCAAGAAGGTTCCTCTGCTCAAAGGATATCTGCGCTCCACGTTCTGTCTGTCTAATGGAGTCTATCCACACAAACTGGTTTTCTAAAATGCTAATAAAATCTGTGGCAACCAAGATCACTTTCTGTGCCTCTTTGTTCCTTGCATTATTTTGTGTGTCAGAAGGACTGACTGTCAGTGTGTAGAACAGAGTAATAAAGGATTTAACCACATATGCATTTGTTTACAAATTAATCTATAAATAGACTTAATTACAAATTCATTATTTAATATTTTAATAGGCTATAGAGTAACTATTTAAAAAAAATAAGCAATCAATAAATGATTGAAACAAACATGCAATATCATTTTAAAATGCATAAATAGTGGAATTTCAAAATGTATTTAAGTGCATTTAAACGGTCAGTTCTGTTAATTAATTGTGCATGAATTAAATCGTATTACTGTTTCCCAGATATTTCTCATACCAGATAACCGTTCTGCGTTTTAGTTGGTTTGTGGAAAAGCAGCTTGAAATGTCTCTTGAAGATTTCTTAAAAAGATCTGTATGTGATGTAGTTTTCTAAAAATAGCTTGGCAAGCGTCTCATTGCAGTCGGCTTAAATAGTAAATTGTTTTAAGCAATGACACTTTGAATTTCTAAATCGGTCTGCTTTGGCTTTTCATCTTTGTTGGGCATTTTTAATGAGTGCAGTGTGTTCACACCTCTATTCTGTTGTGCAGGTGTGAGCATTCTTATTATAGATGGTATAATTACATGAATATACAAGTCCATTTTGAATGTTTAAGATGCTGCTAATGTTTCTAGCAACCTTTTTCCTTTAATACTATGCCTAGCTTGTATTATTCTTATTGTTCATGTTCAATAAGATGCATAACTTGAATCAAATGTGACTTTAAAGTTTGTAAACTGACTTTAAGACTTGAGCAAATCCACAGCAAGTTGTAAAGGCACAAAGCCTTAATATTAGATTTTTTGGCATTTTAATGTAGATTATTGTAATTAAACTGTAATAATATTTGTTTAACAATATTCACAGTAATTCAGTTTTTATTAAAGATAATTACATTTATTATTAATAAAGTAATAATTTAATAAATATAAATTGAAAAGCTAAAAAAATTTAAAGTTAAATTATTTTAATTATCAGTATTTAATAATAGTCACACACACATGTATCATATTTTTCTTGTCCCACCTTCAATACTGTTTCTGTTTCCTAGTTTTAAAAAAAATTGAGAATTGTGAGGGTTTGGAAGTCAAAAAGTCTTGAGAACCACTGATTTAACATCAGTTCAGTCGGACACCGTCCTTATAGCCGCACCATCAACCGTCACACATCCTGAAGACAAGAAACTCCAGGCGAACAGCCAAACCATTTTGCTTTAATTTAAAAAACCGCAGATGACATAAAACGCTCAAACCGTGTATAGAAAACAAAAATAAATACAAGTGTTTCTTTATGGCATTTCCCGCTCACACTGGCTTTTTCTAAACAATAATCAGAACGAAAGGAGAAGCAGCCGAGAGAAAGAAGGCAGGTCCAGAGCAGGAATGGTTCGCCTCGTCAGTACAGTCAGTTCGTAATGGTCTGTTGAAATGAATGGGTGCCGTCGCTCAGCCCGATTT